CCCCCCCCCCCCTTCCTCCTTCCTCCTCCTCCGCCTCCTTCGCCTCCGCCTCCGCCTCCGCCTCTCTCCTCCTCCTCCTCCTCCTCCTCCTCCCCCTCCTCCTCCCCCTCCCTGTGCCCCCCCCGCCCCCCCTCGTCGCGGTCCTCCCCCCGCGTCGAGCGCCGCGAAGGCCAGCAGCGTCCCGCCCGCCAAGGAGCCGCCCCGCGGCGGCCCCGGCAGGGGCCGCGCGCCCGCGGCTGGGCCCACGCTCGGTTGCGTATATGTGTTGGTTCCGCGGGGTCGAGCTTCCAGGCTCTCGCGTGTGGCGGTGTTGGGGGGGGCTGGGGTCGCGGTGGGCTCACTTCGTCCGTGGCTGGTTGCTATTTGCGCATATCTTCAAAGCATCGCCCAGCCTGGTCGATGGTACGCCAAACCATGGCGCGCCAAAGCATCGTGGATGCGGCGTGGCCGGGGGCGGCCAAGAGAGGAGTGATGATTAGTCAGGCGATCGCAATCATGGATCAAGGGGCCGCGGATTAGCGACGGGTCCCGCTTCCATGGGAAGTCGCGGATTCCCGCCGCCGAGCGAGGCGGCGCAAGCCGCATTTTGGGGAGGGCGCTTCCCCGGATCCATGGATTTGGCGACCGCGCGCCAAATCCATGGATCTCTCCTCGGGACTGAAGACACGGGCGTCGATGCAAACGGGGATCCGCCAAAGCGCTGGATCTTGCAGGATCCTGCAGGGTCAGGGATGCACTGACCCGGGCTTGCGTGCAGGCTTCGGCAGGGCCCGACTGACCCGAGTTTGCACTGACCCGGGTCAGTAGATGCCCGACCGACCTCCTTCCTTCCACGTTGTCGCCCTGATCTCCCTCCCTCCTCCCTTCCCTCGTACGCCTTGGTCAACGTGGTACACGCGTGCAAGGTTCGCAGAGCCTTCCGGGGCACCAGCAGTGATCTCTGCCTCGCCAGTGCCCCCGAGGAGGCCGAGGACCTGACCCGCACCGTGGTCAGGACCATCTGTGTTAGTGGCGGGATGTAGAAGCACGGCCAGGCCCCCCCGCGCTGGATGCGAGCGCAACCTACAGGTCTTTCTGTGCGAGCTTCGCAAGATCGTCCCGGGCACGCCCGAACAGAAAAAACACATGGAGGAGCGCTGAGGCAGCTCTGTGAGCGCGCAAAGCCTGCTGCTCTTCCCCCCTCCCTCACGTCACGTCCATTCTTCCCTCCCCTTCCCCCGTCATCTTGGGACGAGTGTATTTACTGTTCTCAGCCGTGCCCTCGGGGATTAGGAGCACCAGCGGACTTCACGGCGAGTCCTTGGCATCGCTTGGACGTGTGCGTTTTTCCTTCGGCGAGGACCATCGAGGAGCATCCTTGATCATTTGGCGAAAAAAACACGCACGAAACCAACAAAAACACAGGAAATGGACGTCCAAGCGATGGCCAGAGTCCCTCGGCGCCCTTTGCCTGCCGTTCTGTCGCTTGCCGGGGCGTGCGCAGGATCCGCCGCGAGGGCCGCCGCCCGCGCACGCTCGTGGGGCGCAGGCCCCCGCGATGGGTTTCGGAAGCGCGCCGTCCACGGTGCCCAGCGCTCCACTCGGATCTCTTGGCACCTGTGCCGCTGGGTGCCCTCGTGGCGCCCCAGCAAAACAGGCGGATTGGCAGCCCGATCGTCACCACAGCTCGACGGGGCTGTGGGAGAGACTCTTGCCCTGTGGTTGGCCAGCCACATCAGGTGCGGGCGTAGGCCCGCGTGATTGTTTTCGAAAGCGCGCCGTCCACGGTGCCGAGCGCTCTACTCGGATCTCTTGCTTCCCTCAGCCAGTGATTACCACCACCTCAGTGGGCCCTGGAAACGACAGGGCCGTTTTTTTACCGGCTCCGTTTTGCCGTTTTTGTTGCCGGTTCCGACGCCGTTTTTGTTACCGGTTCCGTCGCCGTTTTTGGACCGGTTCCGGCTCCAGTTCCGATCCTGGAGCGTGTTTTTGCTGTTTCCGGTCGCCGTTTTTTTCTCCGCTTCCATGTTCAAGGGGCATTTTTTCGGAAACGGTGAAAAAACGGCCCTGCGGTTTCCGGGGCCCACTAGGACCACCACCAATATCACGGCTTTTGCTGTTTTTTCGTCCTTGCTTTCCCGTCTTGTCGAACTTGAAACATGTGGGCTCAAGCAAAACATCGGGGCTCAAGTAGAGAGTTCTGCTAATTTTCGACTAGGGCATTGAGCGAAGAATCTGTGCTGTAATCCTGATGCGGGCCTGCCTTGCGACGACCCTAAGGGTGTTCGAACATGTGCTGCGGATACGGCCAACCAGTCAAAGTCGAAGAAACGCCGTCTTCGGATCGACGCGCTGCAACTCTCCATTCCCAGCGTTGTTCTTTCACGGTATCACGCGCTCAGACGCAGTTCGTTACGTTTTGCCGTGGTTTTCATCATCCGTTTTCCGGTACTGTCATCACAGGGTCGACACGGCAGCAATGCAGTTTTGCCCGAATTTTGGTGCATTATGGAAGTACGTGTGGACGACTTCGGTTTGAAAGTCACTCACGTGCCTGAGGTCAAGCCCCGCCCACCTGCGCGTGGACTGATAGGAGCTCCGGAGCCTTTGACACGAGGAGCCCAGTGCCACCACTCGGAGGATGTACCTTGCGTTCGTTTTTGTTGATGTATTGTTTTGCCGATCGGCGCGGCCCCCCCCCCCCTTCCCCCCCCCATGGAGTAGATCTTGGTTGCTTTTAGGCGCCTGCTTAGAGCGGGTGGAGTCTCCCTCAGAGGCCTCACTCGTGCAACCAGTCGCGCTAAGCAGAGGTAGGGAGCCAGACCCCCCCCCTTGCCGCCCACTGTCGAAACGCTGAATTCAAAAGCCTCTTTTCAGGCAGAATGGTACCATACTCATTTGGCAGCAACACGGCCACCGTGAGGAGCGGCATGCTGATTCGCTCGGGGAGCCTTCAGTTGTTTCGGCCTCAATATTGCAATCGGAAACATGTGTATGTTGGCATGAAAGCGTGGACCAGGGAAGGCGTCCACGCCCGTGATCTTGACAAGGAGTCCTTCGCATGGCTGTTTCAGATCCGCAACGAATGGGTAAGAGTGACGAGAGAGGAGGTCGGTGGACGAGTGTGATGATGATGATACTTATGATGATCATGTTGATGATGTTGATGATGTTGATGGAGATGATGATGATGATGATGCTGATGATGTTGAGGGTGTTGGTGCTGATGATGATGGTGCCGATGGTGTTGCTGCTGACGATGATGATGCTGCTGATCATTGTGATGGTGGTGATGGTGACGAGGATGGTGAGGATAGTGAGGAGGTAGAGGGAGTCAAGGAGGAGGCGGAGGAGGAGGCGGAGGAGGAGGAGGAGGAGGAGGACGAGGACGGGGACAAGGACGAGGACGAGCGGGGTTGCCGAGCCAGGATGACGAAGTGGCCCGGCGCCGTGATTCTTCCACGACGCCAAAGTTGTGGGGGCGGGGGGTGGGAACGGGCGGCGGTGTCGCCGCGGGTCGCCGCAGGGCCTGCAGAGGCCTCCACGGCCCGCTCCTGCGGAGGGTGTTCGGGAAGGCCGCCCCCGGGGCTTCCATCACACGCACGAGGTCGCCGACCACATGGATTCCTCCTTCCAGTCCCAAATTTCTCGCCATCCTCTTTTTATGGGCTCGCACCACACGTTAACGTTTTGCACGCAAGCGTTGCCATACGTGTAAATTTGTTTACCTGTATGTATATGTTGTCATAGTGTTCTCTTTCTTTGTATAAAGCTGTATGGTTGTACGCATAGATACATGCATGTCTTAACATTCGTACTCACATACAGACAGACACGCAGACATACATTCACACATACACTCATACATACATATATACATATACAAGCGTACACTCATACATACACATATGTATACGCATATGCAGATACAGTTACCTATTCATTTACATACACATATACAAGCACATTCACATAACATGATACATACATTTCTACACAACTCATGAACATCTACATATACGCCATAGACACCGGCATCGACACCGACACATTCATCAACATACACATAAACACACATATGTACATATACATGTACCTCTGCATTGCAGTTACATATAACTCTACATATACATATACATACGCAAACACATATACACCGACATCCACATGCACAGTTACAGTTGTACAGACATGCGCATATGCATGTACATAGTCACATCTGTATACATATACACATACAGACACGTAGTCATGTGCGTAAGCATATACTTTCCAGCTACATAAGCATAGACCTTGACACATACAAGTGCATGTCTATGTACACATGTATACCCATATACATATACATGCACACGCAATCGTATTCATGTATACACATACGCATGCACCTAGGCATACGCATACACAACAACTTTCAGTGCTACATACATGTCTACACACATATGCACATGTGCACATATGGATACATCCACATATATATATATATGTGAATATATACATATATATTTGTGTGTATATTGACATATATATATATATGTATGCCTATATGTGTGTTTATGCATACATATACACATACATACACGGCTACGGCGTCGCACGCCTAGCTTTGAACAAACCAGAGGATGTTCCGCTCATGGCCAGTTCCGCCTCGCACCGCCTGCCTCGAGGCTTCGGAGGTCCCTCTCGAGACCCTCCCGACGGCGAGTGCCCCACGAGTGGCTCCCCCCACAACGCCTCCCCAGGCCATCCAGAGGTGGGGGCCTCCGAAGGGCAGCGAGCCTCCGAGGGGGGGGGGGGGGGGGGGGGGGGGGGAAAGTCGCGCCGCGATCAGAGGAGGAGGATGAGGAGGAGGAGCGGAGGAGGAGAGAGGGGAGGAGGAGGAGAGGGGGAGAAAGGAGGAGGGAGGAGGAGGAGGAGGCAGGAGGAGGAAAGGAGGAGGAGGAGGCAGGAGCAGGGAGGAGGAGGAGGAGGAGGAGGATGAGGAGGAGGGCCTCGCCGTCGTGCCGCCGGCCGCGCTGCAGGACGTGTCCTGGAAGGGCCCCCCCGCGAATAGCACGGCGACGCCGCCGGCCGCGCGGGCGGGCCTTGGGGCGGGGTGGCGGGGGCGGGGGCTGCTCCTCGGCGGCGTCGCCGTGCTCCCCTCGCGCCCGCCTCCTGCCCAACCTCCCTCCCTTCCTGCTTCGCCGCCGCTTCTACATGGGGGGAGGAGGGCAGAAGTTCTACCCTTCTCCCCCCGCCCCTCCTCCGCCGCCTCCTCCTCCTCCTCCTCCGCCTCCTCCACCTCCTCCTCCTCCTCCTTCTCCTCCGCCTCCTCCACCACCTCCTCCTCCTCCTCTTCCTCCTCCTCCTCCTCCTCCTCCTCCTCCTCCTCCTCCTCCCCAGCCCTCAGACAGAGCGGTACCTCGAGGCAGCGCTCTGATCGTCGGCCTCCGGGGCGCCGCCTCGTCGCCACGGCGAAGGCGCCTCTCGGACAGCAGCCGGTGCGCGCGGGCCCCGGGTGCGGTCCGGGGCCCTTGGTGCAGCCGCCGCGGTCTCCACTCGCCCTGCTCCCAGGCCCACTTGCATCTCCTCCCTTGCTAGGGGGCCAGATGCGAACCCTGCCCCTACCCCCCACGACTTCTGAGGGGGAGGGTGGGGTTCACTTCGCTCGGGAGCTCCCGAGCGAAGTGGACCCCTTCGGCGCGCGGCGGTTGCCTGGGACGGGGGTCGATGCGGGGCTGTCGGCGGGGGTGACGCCCCCCCGACGCTACTCAAAATACTCGGAGTACCCATACTTCCACAGTCGACCCGCATAGTAAGGATAGGCATCCCTCCCAAGGGTACCCTTGCATCCTTGCCCCCTGGGTCCATCCTTGGACACTTTCGCCGGCCGCGCCCCGCTCGAAACGCTTCGAAATGGGCGTCCGAGGCCCTTGCATCCCTATCGCGCATCGTTACTATCCGGGTTGACTGTACCCTCCGCCCGTTTTTCAGGAGGGGAAAAACACAGACACAATCAATCGTCCACTCTCAGGAAAATATTGGAAAATATGGGAAGTGGGGGGAAGACAAAAACTCAAAAACCATAGAAAACTATGGGGAATGATTTTATTTGTGTGTATTTATCTGTGTGTCCTGGGGCCCCTTCAGTTTCCTCCTCTTGGGGCCTCCTCGGAGGCCCTCGTCGCCGCCGCCGGCCTCGCCGCGAGGTCCTGGTCCGAGCGCACCCCTGGAGGGGTGCGGGGAGCAGCGGTGCGGGTACCTTTCAGGAGGGGAAAACACACACAGACACAATTAATCGTCGATCCCCAAGAAAATATTGGAAAATACGGGAATTGGGCGGGAATGCAAAAAACCTGAAACTATGGGAAAATATGGGGAATCGTTTTATTTGTCTGTATTTATTTGTGTGTCCTTGGGCCCCTGCGCGCGTCCTGCGCTCCAGCTCCAGCTCCTGCTCCAGCTCCTGCGCTCCTCGCGCGTCTTCCTCCTGTTCCTCTGCCTCTGTCTGTCGTATCGCCTCCCTTCTCTCAGGAGGGGGGACAGCACACAGACACAAGTAATCCTCGATCCCCCCGGAAACTATTGGAACATATGGGACCTGGGGGGAAGACGAACACCCAGAACAGACGGGAAAATATTGGGAGCCCTAGGATTTGTGTGTTTTTATTTGTGTGTCTTTGGGCCCCTTCCTTCTCGTTCTCCACCTGCTCTCCCCTCCCTCTCTCCTCCATTCTGGCCGTCCTCCCTCCTCTCACCTACGCTGTCTGTCTTGGGCGCCGTGTGTTTTGCTCTCGTCGCCAACTGTCCACGGGAAGTCATCAGTGGCACCGGCTTGCGCGAATAGTTCCGCCAGTTGTCAATGTGGCGTTGGCGCCTGGCACTACAGCCTTGCAGCTGGTTGGCTGACCTTGGCGTTGACGAGGCCCACGCATGCTCAAGTCAGCAGTGACCCCCTCCATCGAAGAAACAAAAGCCACGTAAACAGAAACTGTTTGACGCTCCGCGCGCATTTCTTGGATCCGCGCCTGGGCCCGCCCGGCGGCGCCTCCAGCGCTGCCCTTGGCGCGCTCCGCGCGCCAGGTAGGGGGGTGCAGCGCGAATCCAAGAAACCCGCACTCGAGTTTATATGTTTACCAGACGACGCCTTCCGCTCCCTGACCGCAGCCTGCCGCCGACCAAACAAAGAGTTTGTATGTTTATGTAATTTCTCGTTCCCCTAACTTCTCTTCCGACTCAAATTCTGAATCTAAGAAATCCGTGCGGAGGGCCAAAAGTTCATGTTTATGTGTTTCGATTCCTTCCTCTAACCCAGCTGGATCACCTGCATTCGGAATTGGGAGCAGTGGGAGGATGGACCCAGAGCAGTGCGAGGACGGACCCATGAGCTGCAAGAGGCCCATGGCGTCATCGCCCCATCAGCACGGCATAATTGCCGGAGCACTGGCACATCGTACCGCATTCGGGGGCGGCCAAGAGGGGGGTGATGACCAAGGGGGGGGGGGGGGGGGGATATCATGGCGGCGGTCATGATATTTCCCCGGATTTCGTGGCGCTTCTTTTTCATTACGTCCCCGGCCCCCCTCCTGGGCCTCGCACATGCCGCTGGTCATGATTTGCGCCCCCTCCTCTTTGACGCCCCCCTCTTGGCCGCCCCTGACGCATGCAAGGTCCCGTCCGAGCATGAAGCAAGCACCGATTATTGGACGCGGATCTGCATTGCTGAACAAGTTCGGTTTTTGTTTTCGGTGTTCATGGTCCAAGTATCGGAGACGAGGAGACGCTGGAGCACAAAGACAAAGTCGAGCGCGCGATGGGCAAGGACGAAAGACGCACGGAGCCCGCAAAGCTGAAAGGGCAGATGGTGCGTCCTAAATGGAATCCGACCATGATTGATGGGCTTGATTTCCACCACCACCACCATCAGTTGGAGGGGGAGGGGGTCCTCCTCCTCCACCTCCCCCTCCTCCTCCTCCTATCCTCCTCCTCCATTTCGTCCTCTTCCTCCTCGTCCTCCTCCTCCTTCCCCCCCAACTTATGGTGGTGGTGGAAGACAGGCCCATCAATGATCGCACATCAGTTGAGACGGAACTGTCAATCGTCGACGAGGATGTTCTGAGCGATGCGAACCCATGCGACCTGCAGATGTTGGGGGCGATCGTCGACGAGGGCGTGCGTTGAGAGGTTTGCCGACGGGCCGGTCTTCTCAGCGCCACGATTCGAGGGGAAGGGATTATTTTGGATTTCACAAGAACAGGGTGGTTGTTCCCCAATCAGCGCTTGCACTGAAGGGGTCCTCGCGGAGGTTGCAAGATTCGGCGAAATTTTCCCGCCGATTCTGGTGGCAGGCGGGGTTCCCGGGTCCCCGGTTCCGGGTTCTCGGGTTCCCGGTTATTGGTTCCGGGCCGATTTCGGTGGGTTCTGGGTTCCTGGGCTCCCGGGTTCCCGGTCGATCTCCTCAGCGAAAACCATCCACTGATTGTTTTTTTTTTTCTCAGGTGTAGTTTTTGTTTAGGGGGGGACTTGAGCCATGTTGGAGGGTTCCAGTGGGGTCTGCGCAAACGGCCGCCCTTTCGTGGCTGGTCTGCGGGGAGTCTACCACTGCTTGTCTGGGAGGGTTGTGACCCCCTCCCTTTCTATTTGCGAAATTTTGAGTAGGGACCGTAAGTTAGTCAGCGGCTTCGCGTTGTTCGAATTCACAGTCTTCAGAACAGGGGGCTCATCTCGGATACTTTGGGCGGCTATCTGGCAATTGCACAGAAGCCTGACCTTGATCGTACATTAGAGACACTGGCAGCTCCAGTGGCACGGGTACCAGGGTCTGCGGCAGGCGTGTTCAGAATTTGAGTCGGGAGAGAAGTTTGGGGAACGAGAAATTACATCAACATACGAACTCGGAGGTCCGTGCGGATATCTTGGATCCGCGCTGGACCCCCCCTCCTTGGCGCGCGGAGCGCGCCAGGGGCGGCGCCGGAAGGCGCCGCCAGGGGGCCCCAGCGCGGATCCGAGAAATCTGCGCGGACCTCGGAGTTTTCATTTAATCGCTTCGCTCATTCCGCCGGCCCTCGAGCGCTCTATGGGGCCTCTTTGAAGCCTCTCGGGGGCCTCTTTGGGGCTATAGGGGCCTTCTGGGGGCCTCTTGGGTGTCTCTTGGGACCTCGGAATTTTTGTTGTTCATGCCATTCTTCGTTCCCCTGGAAGTGCGGATAGGGGGGCGTCTCAACACGGATCCAGAGGTTGTCTGATCGGGCCGCGGCGTCGGCGGCGGCCCGTGGCCTTCACAAAAAGCCCCTGCCCGCGACCTCCAGTGTGCTGGGGTCCCTCCCCCCCCCCTATTCTCGAAGAGACAGAACATGCCATAAGCATAAACTGTTGGCGCTCTGCGCGGATTTATTGGATCCGCGCTGGACCCCCCGCCGTGAGGTCGAAAACAGCAGAAACACACACGTGTGTCGTGTTTTTCTCAACATTTAGCGGTTCGCTAAAGGGTTCGCATCGCGATAAAAGAAGAGTTAAATAATAGCCCACGAGGGGGGACAGGGAGCCCGAGGCCGCCTGGTTCGGCAGCGGTTGGCGGCCGTTTCGCCAGAGACCTCCTCCCGAATTGTTCATCGCGGTCTCGCCCTGATGGTAAGTCGGGCCTGTCCCTCTACAGGAGGAATATCCAAGAATAGTAAAATATAGTGTGGGGACGATTGTTGGAATTTTGATGGACTATTTTGGTGTATGTTGAAAGTATGTTTGATTTTTCTTTGAAAACCCCCCTGTAGGGGGACACGCCCGACATTAGCATAGTGCCGGCTACATGTTTAGTCCAGACGGCCGCGATGCTTTGCAACACCTGCACTAAGGTGCACATGGCCTCTCTCTCACCTCTGTCCCCTGTAGCCGACTTCCCACTCATCGACACGCCTCTTCATCTTAACTGTCATTAGGGTGCTTTGCTGGCGTAATTGTCACGATGCGAGGGGGTCTGGGCCGTCTATCATGACGTCATTATGGTCCTACTGTTCGGCAGCGAAAGCCCAAGCCTACTCTCGCCGATCAACGATTCCGGCATACCGATGGGCGGCAGGGGTAGGATCCGGAATGCGTCGAGCACGTGGCGAGATCCAAACCATCCCCCTGCCGTCCATCGGCTCCGGAAAGTCGATCGTCGGTGGTGGTCAGATTCCTCCTCCTCCTCCTCCTCCTCCTCCTCCTCCTCCGCGTCCCAGGGCCATGCAGCATCCTTGCCGTCCATTTCCTCCTCCTCCCTCTTCCTCCTCCTCCTACTCCTTCCTTCTCCTCCTCCTCCCTCCTCCTCCGCCGTCCTCCTTCTCTTTTCTCCTCCCTCCTCCTCCTCCTCCTCCTCCTCCTCCTCCTCCTCCTCCTCATTGTCCTCATTGTCCTACCAAAACGTAGTCCAGCAAAACCAGCCGAACTAGCTTAACCTACTGCCGAGCAGGACCGACCTCGAAGTAGGAAGCCTATGCCTCCTCGACCTCGGGTCCCGACGAATTCCCCCCCTCGTCGGGCCCTTCGTTGGGCCCTCGGCCGAACGGGGCTCCGAAGAGGGGGAAAGGGAGCCCCCAGAACCTGTTGGACTGGGGCTCCCGTCCAGACCTCAGTCGTCCCAACGCCGTTCTGGCCAGACGGGCCGCCGACCGAGGACGGGAGGTGCAGGGACGGCAGGGACGACAGAGGTCGCGAAACTTTCCTCCCCTGGCCGCACGCCCCCGGTCGCACGTGCGGGCAGGTGGCGACGTCGCCGCTGCCCTCCCCCGCGCTGGCCCCCTCGCCGCAGGCGCCCGCACCCCGCCCCCCCCGCCGCGCGCCTCGCTCGTCGGGGGAGCGCGGGGCGCGGCGGCGACGCTCCTCCTCGTCCTCCTCCTCCTCCTCTCCTCCTCCTCCTCCTCCTCCTCCTCCTCTCCTCCTCCTCCTCCTCCTCCCCCCTCCTCCTCCTCCTCCTCCTCCTCCTCCTCCTCCTCCTCCTCCTCCTCCTCCTCCTCCTCCTCCTCCTCATCGCGGCGCTTCGTGGGGAGCCAGGGACTCGCGGGTTATGGACGACGATCAATATAGAGGACGCACGTTGCCAAAGAAGTGCCAGGTGTCTAGAGCATGTGTTCACCATGTCTTTATGCACGGCATGGCATGCTGTCAGTGCAGAACATGCTTCAGACATGTGAAGCACATGTTGCGTTCAATGATCGGATTGTCAGGGTGTTCATAGTCACGGCATCCACAACACGCGGTTATCCCAGCACGGCGCGAGCAGAACGCAGGTTTGCTACGTCTGCAAGCCGTCACGCCGCTGCACGACGCCACGAGCCACGATCTGCACGACGCTGCACCAAACGTGATGTTATGTTGTGTTGCACAACGGCCAAAAAGGAGTCCTCCTCCTCCTCCTCCGTCTTCTCCTCCTCCTCCTCCTCCTCCTCCTCCTCCTCCTCCTCCCCCTCCCCCCTCCCCCTCCCTCCTCCTCCTCCTCCTCCTCCTCCCCCCCTCCTCCTCCTCCTCCTCCTCCTCCTCCTCATCATCATCATCATCATCATCATCCTCCTCCTCCTCCTCCTCCTCCTCCTCCTCCTCCTCCTCCTCCTCCTCCTCCTCCTCCTCCTCCCCCTCCCCCTCCTCCTCCTCCTCCTCCCTCCTCCTCCTCCTCCTCCTCCTCCTCCTCCTCCTCCTCCTCCTCCTCCTCCTCCTCCTCCTCCTCCTCCTAATGTGGCCAGGGCAGGGGAGCAGCCCTGGGCGCAGGGTAGGAGGAGGGAGGAGCAAGCCAGCGCAGGGGGAGGAGCAGGCCGGTGCACGCGTTTTGTTTCCGAATGTCGGGAGCCTCGAGACCCGGGGGTCAAATCAGAGATCTAGCGCATTGAAAAATTCAAGACGGAGATTTTCCCGACAGTTGGGCCCCTAGGGGCCCTCGCCGGGCCTCGGGATCGTCAAACATAGATTTGGGTTGGAAAACCGGTCCCCGGGAATGGGTCGAGACTTCCGGGGACCGCGCATTGAAAAAGTCACGACATCGGATCTCTGGGTATCTCGGTGCCCAAGCGACGGGAGTCAGTGCAAACGGGGATCAGACAGGGCGCCAGATCTTGCAGGATCCTGCGGGGCCAGGGGCGCATTGACCCGGGCTTGGGAGCAGGATCCTACAGGGTCTTGCAGGATCCTGCAAGGCCTGACTGACACGGGCTTAAATTGACCCGAGTCAGGAGATCACCGACCAACAGCACAGTAGCGACGTTCTGTCTTGCAGGCACCAGACTGCGTCGCGCCTCGCAGCGTCGCTATACGCGGTTCGGAACGGAACGGGTTGCTTGGGGGATGGTCCCTGTTTCGTTTTTTCCGCCGCCTGGACCGCAAGCGATGTGTAAAACAAGGATGGACGGCGTTCAGCTCGCGCCCTACTCGCGTCGTGAAACAATCGCGGCGGGAGTTTTTGTTCGGTCTCTGGGGGCCCTCGCTGGGTCCCGGGACCGCTAACAAGAACGACCCAGGATGAAACGCCGGCGCCAGGGAGCCGGTGGAGACCTCCATGGTGTCGAAGCTCGAGCCTTGCGGGCTGTTTCGCATGTTCTCTGCGAAGTTCCAGCCTCGGGCCGCCCAGGCAAGCCCAAGCACGCGCGCGCTCCCGGCGTCGAGATCCTTGGCGTCGCAGTGTGTCACACACCCGGCGACTTCTCCAGGCTCCTGGCCCTGGGCCCAGCACAGATCGATGCGTCTCGAGGCATGCGGCAGAGAGATGGGATGTAGTAGGGGAACGAAGAATGACATAAACATAAAAACTCGAAGGTCCGCGCGGATTTCTTGGATCCGCGCTGGACCCCTCCCCTGGCGCGCGGAGCGCGCCAGGGGCGGCGCCGGAGGCGTCGCCAGGGGGCCCCAGCGCGGATACGAGAAATCCGTGCGGGCCTCCGAGTTTCTATGTATATGTCATTTGTTGTTCCTCTATGTAGGGCTCTGGCTTCGTTTCCGTATGACGTTGCATGTGTTCGTGACGTCGGGTCCCAGGAGAGGTGACCGCGAGCAGCCCAGGCGGCCACCGCAGCACCTGATCTGGCCCATCTAGCTCGCCAGTCGGCTCACTCGGCTCCTTCGGCGCGGCCCTGTCGGCACGTCTGGCGAAGCGACGACAAGGAGCTTGTATTCGGAAGGGAGAGTGAGCGGACAAGTCAAAGGAGCCCCCTCGGGCTCAGGGCTTACCCCCCCCTGCCTTCGGGGGGTGTCGCCCTTCGTTCTCGTCTCCCCCACGGTGGGCCCTCATCTCTGGTGGCCTCGCAACACGTTGGGATCCTTTAAGGTGTTCCAGCTTCGCTTTGACACCCGCTGGCGGATAGTGAACACCAGCGCAAAGGGAAGGGATGGGTGGGAGGGGCAGGACGTCGGGTACGGCGCGAACGCACCTCGCCTGCTCCCCCCCCTCTCTCTCACGCCTCCTTCCACTCTCGTGCCCCCCTCCCCCTCTCTCGCGTGCCGCGCTCCTCCCGGCCCGGGGGCGGCCTCTTGGAAGAGGACGTCCCTCCTACAGCCCGACAAGACTGTGAGCACGTACCCTCCAGAGGGTGGTTGTCCTTGCCTCCTTGCCTCGCGGCCCATCCTAGACTTGAGAAGGCGAAAATCCACCCCCACCCCCAGTCCCGACGCCCACCCCCGAGCCCGCGATCTGGGGGGTCGGGACTGGGGGTGGGGGTGGGTTTTCTTATTCCGGGACCCCGAAAATCCACCCCCACCCCCAGTCCCGACCCCCTGGATCGAGGGTGCGGAAATGAGGTCGGGACTGGGGGTGGGGGTGGGTTTTCGCCTTCGCAAGACTTGAGTCACGAGGGCGGCCACAGGCTTCCAACTTCGGGCTGCCACTTGGGCGTCCCAGTGCCTTGCAGCATCCTTGCCGTCCATTTCCTCCTACCTCTTCCTCCTCCTCCCTCCTTCTCATCCTCCCTCCTCCGCCGCCGTCCTCCTCTTTTCCCTTCCTTCCTCCTCCTCCTCCTGCCCCTCCTCCTCCTCCTCCTCCTCCTCCTCCTCCTCCTCCTGGCGCGAGTCGCCACCCATCCAAACGCGAAGCGGGATGGTCGGGTGGGGGTGTCGCGGTCAGTTGCAGCAGACGGGGGAGGGGGTGGGCCTGGACCCTCACTCACCGCCCCCCCTGCCCGACCCGCTTCTCCTCGGCCTCCTCATCCGCCTCATCGACCTCATCCTTCTCGTGGTCGCCGTCGCCACTGATGCCGAGGCCGCCGCCGTCGCCTTCGTCGTCGTCGTCGTCGTCGTGGTCGTCGTCGCAATCGCTGCCGAGGCCGCCGTCGTCGTCGTCGTCGTCGTGGTCGTCGTGGTCGTCGTCGTCAACATACTCTTCGTCCTCAATGTCGTCGTCGTGGTCGTTGAGGTCGCCGTTCTCGTCGACGTCGCCCCTTCGGCGGGGCCCCGTGCCTGCGCCCTGCCGTACCGGCGAGGCTGCCGTCGCCGCTGCCGCCGCCGCCGAGGCGCCAACCCGCCGCCGCCGAGCCGCCGCGGCGGCTAGGGCGCCAAGCCGCCGCCGCCAAGACGCCGCCGCCGCCGACAAGCCGCCGCCGCTCGCCCGCGCGCGTCCGCCGCCAGCCGCCCCCCACCGGCGCCCCCGCTGGCGGAGCCCCGCCGGCCGCCCAGCTGGCTGGCGCCGGCAGGGCGCAGGCGCAGAGGGCCCCGCGGAGGGGCAGCTCTGACGACGACGCTGGCATGGACGACCTCGGCGGCGACGGCGACGACGACGCACGACGGCGACTGCGGAGACCTCGACGCCGACGACGACGGCGACGACGACGACGACGACGACGACGACGGCGACGAAGACGGCGACGGCGACGGCGACAGCGATGGTGGCGATGACGACGACGACGACGACCACGACGACGACGGCGACCCCGACGACGATGACGACGGAGACGTACAGCGACGACGGTGGTGGCGACGTACGGCGACGACGGCGACGACGATGAAGGAGGCGACGGCCACGACGACGACAACGACGACGGCGACGAGGCCGACGACGACAACGACAACGACATCGACGACGATAACGATCGCGACGACGACCACGACGACGACGGCCACGACGACGACGACCACTGCAGCGTACGGCGACGACTCTGAGGACGGCGACGTACGCCGGCCTCGGAAGCGGCGACGACGCACGGCGTCCTCGGCGGCGTCGGTGCCTGCCACGGCCTTTGCGGCTGCAGCCGGGGAAGAGAAGAGGAGGAGGAAGGGATGATGATGTTCCAACCTGCCTTAGCCTTGATCGCCAGAAAGAATTTCGAACACCAGGAAAGTACCGAAGCGGAAGGGTTTTTACGTGTCGGGCTCTGGGAGGCGATGCTTTCGTTTGACCTTGTTTCGATAGTGTTCGGGGTGCTCGACATTGTTTCTGGGATGTGGTCCTTAAGCACGATGGGTGCAACATTAGAGGAGGAAGGGGTCGTAGAAGAAGCAACGCTATAACTCAGGAGGGAAAAAAACACAGACACAATTAATCGTCGATTCTGCAGAAATATGGGAAAATATGGGAATTGTGGGGAAGACAGAAACCCAGAACATATGGGAAAATATGGGGAATCCTGTTATTTGTGTCTATTTATTTGTGTGTCCCAAGGCCTCTTCAATAACATAAGCTTTCAGAGAGCTCCGCGCGGATTCTTTGGATCTGCGCCGGGCACACCGCGCGCCGGGGATGGGTGGATGCGAGAAGTCCCCGGGGAGCGCCAAAAGTTGATGTATAATTATGCCGGCTGTCTTTCTTCTGCGCAGGAGGAAGCGAGCTTAGCATCGCTCGGACGTGTGCATTTTTTCGTCGGCGAGGACAATCGAGGAGCATCCTCGACCATTTGGCGAAAAAAACACGCACGAAACCGAAAAAAAACAAGAAATTGACGTCCGAGCGATGGCCAGCGAGGGGATGTCGAGGACGGTGAGGGGAGAGCGGAGCATGGGAAGACTGGGGATGAGGATGACGAGGAGGGGAATGAGGGTGATGGATGGATGGGGGAGGGGGAGGGGAAGGGCGGAAGGGCTGGAGGACTGGGATGGGCGGAAGAGGGGGAGGCAAGGTGGACGAGGGAGGATGAGGTGTTCCAGGCAGGGAGAGGAGGTGGAAAGGTTGGCCGAGTGAGAAGGTGATGATCACAAACAGCATCAGCTGATTGAAATATTACCCCAGTGCGACCCTACCTAGAAGTTGGAGCCCCTAGGAAAGCAGCATTAGTTTCTATGCTATGCTATGCTATGCCACGCTATGCTGCGATATGCTATGCTGTGTTATGCTATGGTATGCTATGCGTTTCATGCTAAGCTATGCTATGTCATGCTGTGCTATGCTAAGCTATGATATGCTATGCTGCGCTGTGCTATGCTGTGCTGTGTTGTGCTGAACTATGTTATGCTATGCTATGCTATGCTATGCTGCGCTATGCTATGCTGGGCTATGCTATGATATGCTGTGCTGCGCTATGCTATGCTACGCTATGCTATGCTATGCTATGCTATGCTATGCTAAAGCTCATCGAAGCTAAGATGAAGGTAAGCTAAGCTAAGATAAACCTGAGTTAAGATGAAGCTAAGCTACGCTAAGATGAGATAAGCTAAGCTAAGATGAGATAAGCAACGCTAAGCTAAGGGGACGCAACTGGGGGAACCGCGGGGCGGATCCTGGGGGAACCGCCCGGGGCGGGCAACACTGCCCGGCCCCTTTAAGAAAGAGGGTAAGAACCCTTCTAGGCAGAGCCGAGGTAGGGAACAATCACGTATGGGCATATCACGCTTTGTTTGAGATGGGGTTTAATTCAGTGAAGCAGCGGTGAGATCTTCTCGCTGCCACACAGGCCGCATCCAGTCTGGTGCAGGAGGGAGGTTGAGGAGGCTGAGGATGAGGAGGAGGGGGGAGGAGGCAGAAAGGCGACGGCGACGACGCAGCCTCGACGACAACGAAGGTGGTGGCGGCTCTGGCGTTGGCGACTGCGACGAGGAGGAGCCGAGAAGGACGGGGGTGGTGAGGGGGAGGGGGAACACGAAGACGGAGGTGGAGGATGGGTCAGGATGAGGAGGCCGAGGGAGACGAGTTCAGGCATGAGCAGTCAGAACGAGGTGGAGTGATGAGGAGTCGACAGGAGGAGGCGGACGGTGATGATGATGATGATGATGATGATGATGATGTTGATGATGATGTTGATGATGATGTTGATGCAGATGATGATGACGATGATGGTGATGGCGATGGTGATGTTGATGATGATGATGATGATGATGATGATGATGATATTGTTGAAGATGATGATGATGTTGTTGAAAATGATGATGATGATGATGATGATGATGATGATGATGATGATGATGATATGATGCTGATGATGATGATGATGCTGGTGATGCTGATGACGCTGATGATGGTGGCGATGTTGATGATGATGATGCTGCTGCTGATGAGGATGATGCTTATGCTATTGATGATGATGACGATACTGCTGATGATGATTATGATGATGCTGATGTTGATGTTGTTGATGCTGATGAGACTGTCAATGATGCTGATGATGCTGATGATGATGATGATGATGATGATGATGATGATGATGATGATGATGATGATGGCGACGATGCTACTGCTGATGATGATGATGAGAAGGAGGCGGAGGAGGAGGAGGAGGTGTTAGACTGAAGGCCTGAAACGGCTTGGACGTTCCATTGTTGCTAGGTTCAAAGTGCAGCCGAAGACGCCTACGGCGAGGCACCGCCGCCCCCTGCCTTTTAGGTTGCGCCTATGTGGCCAAACGACTGGGCACAGCTTGGCCACGCTATTGGACCATGCGTGTCCCCAGCCGTTGTGGAAGCCCTTTGGGCAACACGTGGGGGAAGACGAGAAAGATGAGGAGATGGCGGAATAAGGAAGATGAGGCGAAGGATGAAGAGACCTCTCGGGAGCTTCCTTGGTCATTCTTAAGGCATCCTGGTAGCTTCCCAGGTGTCCTCTTGGAGGCCTCTTGTCGGCCTCATTTGGCCCCTTGGGGGCTTTTGGAGGCTTCTTGGAGCCTCTCTAGGCTGTGTTGGGGCCCTCTTGGGGCTCTTCAGGATCGTTTTGAAGGCTGTCTTGGGCGTCTTGGACGCCTCTTGGGCCGTCTTGCCGCCCATGTGGGGGCCGCCTTCATCTTGGAGGCCTCCTGGGCGTTCTTATGGCAATCTTGGAGACCTCTTGGGCAAGTTTGGGCTGTCGGAAGGCAGTTTTGAAGCAAATGCCAACACCTGGCAAAACAGCGATGGGAACATCACGGATCTTGGCATCTTCGGGCATTCCTGGAGGACCTTTTGGGGCCTTTTTGGCCATCTTGGGGGCCTCTTGGGCAGTTCTTGGGCCGTGTTTGTTTGGCTCTATTGGGCAATCTTGGCGGTCGTGGAGGCATCTTGGAAGCGTCCTCTTGGAGTCGATCTTGAGGCTATCTTGGGCTCTCTTGGGTCCTTTTTTGCCCGTCTTGGAGGCATTTTGGAAGCAATGTTGTGCCCTCTTGGCCGTCTTGGAGGCGATGCCGCCAAGGGGGAACGAAGTTTCGGCGCTCTCTGCGTTGCCGGCGGGCTGGGTCGCGAACCCACCGACATTTTTTAACACGCAATGCACCCTTGTGGCAAGGGTCGCGGATCTAATGGCATTCGGGCATCCCGCCGCCGTGCCTAGTTTATGGGTCAGAACTCTCGTCGATGCTCCTTGGGGTATCTTTGGAGGGCTCTCGGTGGCCTCTGGGGGGCAGTTTTCACGGGGGCCTCCTGGGGGGCCCTTGGGGGCCTTTTGTAGCCGTCGGGGAGCCTCTTGGGGTTATCTTGGACCTCATGGGGTCCTTTTTGGGGCGGAGAGCTCGACATGTCAGTTCGCCAAATCGCTTTCCTCCTCTGGAATCCCTCTTGGGGTGTTCTCGGGACCCTCTTGAGCCGTCTTGGAGGCATTTTAGGCCGTGTTTTGGGCCTCGTGGGCCGTCTCGGCACCCTCTTTGGGACTGCTTTATTGCGATCTTGTTGTCCTTCTGGGCCGTCTTTGAGAGTCGGGATCCCGAAAAGGCGGAAACGCAGAAATATGTCAAATACCGACGGCCAATCTATGTTTCTTGCATGTTGGGCCCCTCTTGGGAGTGCTCTTGGGCCGTCTTGGAGACCTCTTGGGCCGTCTCGGACCGTCTGGAACTCCAGAGTCCCGGGCCATTACGAAACTACAAGCCTGGCTGCAGCAGCACAGCTGTGTGCCTTGGAGCACTCCACTTCCTGCCAGAGGCACCGTGGCAGATAAGCTCCCAATCGGCGCGAGTACCGCATTCGTACCCTTCGTGGCGATCGTTCTGCAGAACGAATTTGTCCTTACGTTGCTGGAGGAGGAGGAGGATTCATTCGCCGAGTTGTTTTATTGTTGGTGTTTTCGACGGCCCAGTGAACTGAACTGGTAAGCGTGCCCTTTGGAGGCAAATCGACGTCGATCCCTGATGTCCTCTCACTCCCTTGCAGTGCTCCTTCACGCCCGCCTCCACACCTCCTGAGAAGGATCGGCAGCGATGCGCAGCGCAGTCAGCAGGGAGAGCGAGGCTGCGGAGGGATGGGGAAGGTCGATATTGTGAGGAGGCTGACCATCAGCAGGGGGAGTCAGAAGGCCTATGACAGGTCGGCTTGTAGGTATCGCCCAGTTTGCCTGCCGACCCTGTGAACCGCATAGCATTTGAGATTGTAGAGTGCAGGTGTGTTCCTCTTGGCGTGTGGAAAACATTCAAGACGCAGGGGGAATCAGAAGGATGAGTAGGAGGTGGGATGAGGCGGGGCGGCAGGAGCAGGCAGCAACAGGAGGTGGGGCCAGCGGCCAGCCTTCGCGGTACAGCAGCCACACGTCTTTGGCACATCCTCTGTCGATCGTCTTGAGGCTAAGGCGGATGTGTCCCCTCTACAGGCGGAACGTTCAAAAATAGTCAGGGGACGATTTTTTTAAAGTATTTTTCAGCATGTTTAGATATTTCGTGACTCTATTGAAGTTCTCGTCCGAGAATCCCCCTGTGGGAGGACACGGCCGGCCCAGTCTTCTGAGATGCCCCGGAGCCTCTGTGGGCCCCTGCATTCCCGAGGGGCGGCCGCCGGCGGGCCGAGGTCTCGCCCAGCGTGCCCGCCGTGGGCCATGGGGGGGCCCCCCGGGGGGCGTGCAGAGAGGCCACCAAGCAGCCCGCCGCAAAGCCGAGCCCGGACCACCCGCCGAAGGGCGTGGCCACGGCGCGGGGCTCGGCGGGCCCTCCCAGGGAGCTTCGCTGAGGTCCGGGCCTTTTTCTTGCATGTAAAACCCCTAAAAAAGATATTGTGAGCACGGAGCGATCTCGCCTCATCTCGCGCTTTGGTGACCCGCGCAGGTCGATCCGGCTCGAAGCATGCTGCAGAGGGCTGGGGTCTGGGGTCTGGGGCTCGTGATGTTGGCTTTTTTCAATACCTGCTGCAGGCTGCTCGCGGCGTCGGATCTCCGGGCTCCCACGTGTCCCGGTGTGCGCTTGTGCGTGCGCGTCTGCACCCCGGGCTCCGGCCGCTCCGGCCGCCTGAGGCCCCGCCTTCCTGTGCCCTGTCTCCCTAATTAAAGCTGTGCGTCGCCCGCCCAGCTTTTGGCGGAAGAGGCTCGCATTCGCCCTTGGCATCGCTCGGACGTGTGCATATTTTTTCTTCGGCGAGGACCATCGAGGAGCATCCTTGATCATTTGGCGAAAAAGCCACGCACGCAACCGAAAAACACACACGAAATGGACGTCCGAGCGATGGCCGGCGCCCCGCCGACCAGCAAAGTGTGTGCGCGCGCGTGCGCCACGCTCGCGGGGCGCCGTACGGCGTTGGACAGGCCGCGCTCGGCAGGGGGCCGCCCGCGAGCTGTGGCTGCGCAGCCCGCCTGCTGCGGACACTGTCAGGAGGCAAAGGAACACACAGACACAATCAATCCTCGATTCCCCCGGAAAATCTGGGAAAACATGGGAAGTGGGGGGGAAGACAGAGACCCAGAAAACATGGGAAAATATAGGGAATATCCTTATTTGTGTGTACTTATTTGTGTGTCCTGGGGCCCGTTCACACTGGTTGATTCTGCGGCGGGCCTGTGGCCTGTGGGGAGGTCTCAGTCGGCGGCGGGGATTCCGAGAAGCCCCGCCGCCGTCTAACAAGGCCAGCCCCCATGAGGCGCAGCACCCACTTCGGTACCTCCAACGCCCGGTTGCCTCGTAGGGAGCTCCGCCGAAGGCCCCAGTGGCAGGCTGCGCATGGCGGCGCCCCGCCCGCTGAGGCACACCCCTCTCGCCTGACCTTCCGTGGCTCCAGAGGGAGCTCCGTCGAAGATTTCAATGTCAGGGCTCGCACAGCGGGGCCGAACCCATCTTGGCATACACATACACACATGCGCACGCACACCAGCTATACACACGCACCCGCACACACCACACGCACACACGCACACACACACACAAGCACGCAGGCACGCACAAACACACACACACACACGCACGCATGCACGCACACACACACACACCACACACACACACAACACACAACTACACGCACACGCACACGCACACACACGCGCACATGCACACGTACACGCACACGCACACGCACACACGCATTCACAACACACACACACACACCTCACACGTAGCGTCGTCCCCAGCAGCGGGCACGACCGCGTAACAAAGCACCCGCGATTATAAGGCATAGCCCTCCCCCGTTATCTAATAGACCTGATAATTCATTGTGTCGGGCCAAGGCAGAGCTAGTCGGGGGAGGGGCAACGAGGTCGCACTTCAGCATCGCTGGAGGAAGTACGCGGGTAATATTATTATACCCCTACTACTACTACACCTACACCTACTACTACTACTACTACTACTACTACTACTACTACTACTACTGATACTACTACTACTACTACTACTACTACTACTACTACTACTACGACTACTACTACTACTACTACTACTACTACTACTACTACTACTACTACTATTACTACTGTTACAACCACTCCTCCTCCTCCTACTACTACTACTACTACTACTACTACTACGACTACCTCTACTACTACTACTACTACTACTACTACCACTACTACTACTACTACTACTACTACTACTACTACTACTGCTAGCACTACTGCTGCACCCACAACCACAACTACTACGACCACTACTCCATCTACTACGACTTCTGCTTCTATTAGTCTCATTCTCACCACTACTACTGCCACCACTACGACGACTACTATTACAACTAATACTACCACTCCTAAAACTCCCAATCCGAGTCTTACTACGACTGCGACTACCAATTCGTACTAGTTGGACCACACCTACACTATTGATCTGACTACTGCTACCACGACGACTGCTATTACTTCTACTTCTACGTCTACTACTACTACTACTACTACCACTACTACTACTACTACTACTACTACTACTACAATGACTACTACTACAACGATTACTACTACTACTACTACTACTACTACGGCTACTACTACTACTACTACTACTACTACTACTACGACTACTACCACGACTCAA